TATTCCTTGTTTCCAGTCTCAAAGCAAAGGCCTTTAATATTTCACCTTTCAGGATGCTGTTTATGGTAGATCCTGTGTTTTGTCAATTATTTAAAAAAAAAAAAAAAAAAAAATTTAAGGAGCTTTTTTGTCCTGCTTTAAGAGCTTTTTTTTAAAAATTGTAAATGTATATTGCTTTTTCTGTATCTTTTAAGGTAATCATATGATTTTTCTCCTATATTCCATTAAGGTGATGAATTTATATTGATTTTTTAAAATGTTAAGCAACCTTGCATTTCTGTAAACATTTCAGCTAGGTTGTAATGTATTATTCTTTTTATATTTTAATGGATTTAGTTTTCTAATGTTTTTAGAATTTTCGCATCTATTTCCTAATGTGAAAAATGTTTTTAGAATTACCGCATCTGTCTTTTTTATCATAAAGATTTTGTCAAGTTTTAATATCAAAATCATTCCATATAGTATTTTCCATTATATATAACATGAATTTTATATGTATATAATTACCTCCTTTTTCCACATAACTTTCTCTGTTTTTCTTTTTTGGAATAGTCAATTTGAATTTGTGTTATTTCACACTTAAATGGTAGAATTTGATGGTCTGGAACTTTCTTTTAGGGAACATAATAAATTATGAATTGAATTTTTAAAATAGATGTAGACTTATTAGACTTTCAGGGTTTTTTTTGTTAGTCTTAATATAAATGTGGTTTTTCTAGAATTTAAAAAAATCTTAATTTTCAAATTCATTAATGTAAAATATTCATCAAATCATCTTATTTTTTAATGTCTACTGAATCTGTAGTGAGATTCCCTTTCATTCCAGACGTTAATTCTTTCTTTCTCCATTTTTCTTGATTGGTCCTGATGGTGGTTTGTATGTTTTATTAGTCATGTCAAAGAATGAATCTTTGGCTTTGTTGATCCTCTCTTTAATGTTTTCTCCCTATTTTATTAATTTCTGCTTACACTTATTTCCTTCTACTTTTGGTTTAATTTATGGCTCTTAATCTAACATTTTAAAGTGGTGTCTTCATTGTTTTTTTTTTTTTTTTTAAGCCTTTCTCAAATATGCATTTCAACTCTAAGGACTTTCTAAGCATGGCCTTAATGATGTTGCATTCTAATATGCCATGTTTTGATCATCATTTAGTTCAAAATATTTTTAGTATGATATACAATGATGTGGTTGTACATAGTTCTGTAAGAGAACAGCTTCGCCACAGTGCCCTGGCAATTTTGCATGTGTGCACCTGGGCCACATGGTAGACCAGGCTTAACTGCAGCTGATCTAAGTCATGGCAGAATTTCCTGCGATGGCTTCTGAACATGAGAACATGGGAGGCTCGTGAGGAACTGCTTCAAGATTGATTCTCATTTACTTCACTATCTATTAGGAAGTCTGCCATGAACCTATTTCTTATTGCCTCCCAAGTTCTGGTGAGGTTGAGCTTTCTGCCTCTCTCCCCTTGGGATATAGCTGCAGGCTATAAAACTGCTTTGCTGGGCCGGCCCGGTGGCGCACTGCTACAGTGCACCGCTTGGGAGCACGGCGGCGCTCCCGCCGAGGGTTCGGATCCCACATACAGACCAGCCGCTCACTGGCTGAGCGAGGTGCGGGAGCAACACCGAGGGTTGCGATCCCGTTGCCAGTCCCGGTCTAGTACGGGCACGACACTGAGGGTTGCGATCCGTTGCTGGTCACGAAAAAAGACAAAAAGGAAAAAAAACTGCTTTGCTGCAGTATGGCATGGGCTTCTCAACAATAGAGTGCCTTACTATCTGCATTGCAGTCATCTGGCCCCTTTGTTCAGTGTTACCTTGTCCAAAGCACGGTGGGAACTGGCATCTTTGGCTATTTTTGCTTTTGCTGTTTATGTAGGTTACAAACTGTCTTAATCCAAAAACGTCTCATTGTTTCCTTTTTGTCCAAATCTGACAGCCTTGTTTTGCCTTGAAAGGTTCAGTGAAAGACAGAGGTTGGGATCATTTACTGTATTAGGACTTGAGGAAAGACTCTTGGAGGAGGCAGTGTAGAATTAGATTTTGGAAGATGAGTAAGTTGATAGATAGCAGTGGGCATTGTAGGCATGGAATCATTTGACCAAATTGTGTCTATAATTTCCTATTCTTTTCATGCTGCATGTTCCTACTGCTATTATACAATCTCTACCTACCACCAGATTATCCTTCAGAGATTGAAATCTTTCAATCCAAACCTCTTTTTTCAAGTATAAGACTCTTGGTATTCTTGCATTTTGACTCTTATCTCCATTTTTATTTTTAAAAATGAAAAATACATCTCTTGTTTTCTTTATATCTGGCTATTCTCCCTAAATAAAAAAGTTTTTATAAAAAGACTATTTCTTTCACATAGTTTCCTCTCTTCTGTGTTTGGCAGTCTCTACACAAAGTTCAAGGTCTACCTTATTTACCTTCCTTTAGTAAGCCTTTTCTTATTTTTCCATAGTTAGACACTCAGTAAATGTTGTTTGACTGCTGTCTTCTATAGACTATGTACATATAGCAGTTTATATATGTCCCTGTTACTTAATACATTGTATTTTTTCTTAATACATTATAATTTTTATTTTGTGCATTGATGTATTAGGCTCTGAGCTTGTGAGAACCACCTTTGGACTATTTCCAGTGTCCTATGGCTACCCTGTTGGCCTTGCACAGTAATTTGTACATAGTGGATACATAGTGAATCATTTAATAATATGCATCTTACATATAGTTTTAAAATTAGAATACAGTTTCAATAAAATTAGAAATTTGATATAAATGAATGTAAATGATGTGTGTTTCATTTTTGTACTTTCATTACTAAAATAATGGTTTAGGTGATGTTTGTATGTTCAGTAGTAAATTATACTTCAGATGGTGTTATCTAGAATTTTTTTTTCCAAAAGCATATTGCTTTTTAAAAAAGACTTCAAAATTATAAATACTTTTAGCTGTACTGTAAAATTTAATATGAATTTTACTGTAGCCCTTTAATAAATTTTATTATTTCTTAAATGTAAGTTTTGAAAAAGAACAAACTGTCAGTATACTGATTATCCCATGCAAGATGTCTATGATCAGAAATGTATGAACTTTTAAAACATATTAAAGAATAACCCATAATGTTTTTTAAAAAGTTAGCTTCTGTAATGCGTTTAAAATATAATGTAAACTACAAGTACTTAATTTATAGCATTATTTGTAATGTGATTTATAAATACTTCATTTATAAACTTTGTATGGAGCACATCTCTATAAAGTGAGTTTAGTACTTCAGATCAGGGATACGTGAGAACCTACTATAGCAGTAATTGAAGGAGAAACTAAGTGTTGTGTTTATATTCAGAAACTATCAGAAGTATTTTTGTTTTTAAAATTGTGTAAGAAGAGAGACTTCAGATCACACCTATGCTTCAAATACCAGAAATTAAAATGCACTTTTTATGGTATTGGAGAACAGAAAAACCCCTTAGTTTTAGGTAAGAAGTTGTGGCAAAATGGCAGTAATCTCTCTAAGTTCAGTTGTCCTTCAGGTAATAAAAATCACAGTTTTTGGGCCGACCCTGTGGCGCGCTTCGGAGAGTGCGGGCGACACCAAGCCAAGGGTTGCGATCCCCTTACCAGTCACAAAAAAGGACCAAAAAAAAAAAAAAAATCACAGTTTTTAAGCTAAGAAATAGATAAATATTGTACAGTCCCTGTTATACAGTAATGAAAAACTTGATTAACAAATCTTGATTTGATGGGGGAGAGGGGTGGGGGAAAGAGGAATTGATAAAGGGACATGAAAATCAACTACATTATATATTGATAAAATAAATTTAAAAAAACCAAAAACCAAATCTTGATTTGGTATAAACAGAGGAGGTTTTTCATGCTTCATAAAACATCTTGAGAAGAAAATCTTTGTCTTTATATTAAATGAAGAAATATATCACTTTTGTTAGAAATTGTAGCAGAGTCACACTTAATCTTAGGAGTTTCTGCTTAGTTTATTAATTGGGTAAATAGGTCTCTTTATTATACTACTGACTAAATTCATTTTTTAGGAATAAAATAAGGCTTATGTGAATGGACATTAAAACAAAGTCATTGTTGTTCCAGATGATTTGCTTCATAGTTTCTCAGGAGTTAAAGAAGCTTCCTTTTTTGAAGGGAGACATATTTTTAACATCAATATATCATGTTACTTTGTTTCTGCACAGTGAAACTGGAATGTGAATATTTGTATTTTGTAGTCATGAAATTAGACTTTTAAGCATGATTAATTATAGGTAAATTATGATAATTAAATTCTTAAAATCAGATACATAATGTGTAATTCCAGAAATCTGACAAAAAGGTCAAGTTGAAAGAAGATAATATCAAAGTTCTTGGCACATCACTTATAGACTAGAAGTAAAATCATTACACAGATGTTAGATATCTCTAATGATGATTTAGAGGAAGATAAGGACTAGATGATTGAGGAATCTTATTTTTAATGTACTGACTTAAATTTTTAAATTTTAATTGTAAAAATTTTAAACATATACGTATGTAGGAAGAATAGTAGAGTCCATGTAGCTGTTTCCCACAGTTGTTAAGCCCTGGCCAATCTTGTTTTATCTTTCAGACAAAATGTTAAATTATTTGTTTTGTGAAAATTCTAATTTAGTTTAAAGTCCCCAAATTATTTACAAATAAGTTGCTTTTAGGGCCGGCCCGGTGGCGCACTGCTACAGTGCGCCGCTTGGAAGCCCGGTGGCGCACTGCTACAGTGCGCCGCTTGGAAGTGTGGTGGCGGCGCTCCTGCCAAGGGTTCGGATCCCACATACAGACCAGCCGCTCACTGGCTGAGCGACGTGGTGACGGCGCTCCTGCCAAGGGTTCGGATCCCACATACAGACCAGCCGCTCACTGGCTGAGTGAGGTGCGGGTGCAACCCCGAGGGTTGCGATCCCGTAGCCGGTCCTGGTCCGGTACGGGCGCGACACTGAGGGTTGCAATCCCTTGCCGGTCACGAAAAAAGACAAAAAGGAAAAAAAAAAAAAAAACAAATAAGTTGCTTTTATTAACGTAATTTATGCTGTCTTTTAAAAACATCTAATTTGCTTTGCTGGATGAGTTGGAAAAAAACAAACTAAAAGGTAGACTAAGACAAAATGGTTTACATCGAAGTATTCTGTGATAAAAGCAGCGAGACCTTGGGTGGATAATTTGAAGTACTTTCTGTTGTGTGAGTGCAGATTAGAAACAGTTTTGATTGTTTTGACTTACAACAAATTTTTTCTTCATAATGTATTGGCACTTGAATACAGTTAGCATTTTTCTCATTAAACTTCTGTGAATTATGAATGATCTTTTGACTCTTTGAATTTTTTGTTGTTGTTGTTTAAGAGTTGAAAAGCTATAAAGGTTCTTGTTATTCATTCAGGTAAAAAATATTTGTTGTACCCCTTTTTTGGGGGACAATATATGATGCATACAGTAATGTTCCAAAAGAGGTTGCCACACATTTCAAAGGATTTTCTAAATCAGGGGGGAGGACTTTTCCTCAAACTATAGTTGCCTAACTTCCCATGTCTATTCTGATTCAGCTCCTCAGTTAAGTGAATGTTTCTTCATATGAAAAACATTTCCTTTGTTGTTACTCATGAAAATGTGTCAAATCTCTCAGGTACATGGGAGAGAAAAAAGTTGAGAACCAGTGATTTGAATAATAAACATATACAAGTCATCCCTTGGGGTATTTGTGGGGGATTGGTCTAGGACCCCCCCACCCCCGCAAATACCAGAATTTGTAGGTTCTCAAGTTCTTTACATGAGACACGTAAAATGATGTAGTATTTGCATATAACCTGCGCACATCCTCCCATATACTTTAAATCATCTCTAGATTACCTATGATACTTAATACAATACCTACACGTTACTTCATTTATGTGGACTCAACATAGTACTTGGCACATGGCAAATTCAAGTTTTGCTTTTTGGAATTTTTATTTTCCCCTAATATTTTCCATCTATAGTTGGTTGAATCCATAGATGTGGAACCCACAGATACGGGTGGCTAAATGTACTTGAATATGCAATAGAAATCTGAGATCACTTAGAAGTGAGGAGAATGTCCATTTACGTTTAAACCATAATAAAAGAAAATCTGGCATAACTCTGGTAGTCAGTGAGTTCTATAGAGCTAGTAATTTCTATGTATATTTTTAAACAAGATATTTATAAACTCTTTGACTTAAAGGATGTTGTAAAAATTTTTAGATGTTATAAGTGTATGCTAAATCACAATAATGTTCTAGGAGAACACTACACCTCCTTTGTACAAATTCCAAAGGGAAAAATATTTAAGAACTTTTTTTTTTTTTTCCTTTTTGTCTTTTTCCGTGTCCGGCAATGGATTGCAACCCTCAGTGTCGCCCCCGTACCGGACCTGGACCAGCAACGGGATCACAACCCTCGGTGCTGCTCCCGCGCCTCGCTCAGCCAGTGAGCGGGAACCGGTCTGCATGTGGGATCCGAACCCTCGGCGGGAGCGCCGCCGCGCTTCCCAAGCGGCGCACTATAGCAGTGCGCCACCGGGCCGGCCCTTAAGAACTTTTTTTTAACTGTGGTAAAATACATGTAACATAAAATTTACCATCTTAACCATTTTTAAGTGTATAAACTAAGAACATTCTATCTTTATGTAGTTGGGATTCAATTCAGACAAGTCAGTAGAAAGTTACATATTTCTCTTTATATGCCATTAAGAATGAAGCCACCATGAAATTGTTTACATTTGTTTTTCAGGTCATTACTTCTTTTTATGTGGAGCGTGGAGGAAATGCTATGTCCTTCATGGGAAAGGGTGTTACGAAGAGCACAATTCTTTGCTTGCTTCACTTATCCCATGAGATGATGGCTCAGGCTCAGAGCTTGGTGAGAGCATTAGAAGCTGCCTGTCTTTTGAACAGTTGCTTGGAAAGGAATGTGCTGTGTCTAACACATTTCAAGCCTATATGCTTGCTACATGAAAATGTCTCTTTTGACTTCTTTTTAGGAGACAAAAATGTTTTTTGACTACGATATTTCTTAGAAATTGTATATTACACAAATCTGAATTTTAGTTGAAATTATTTTGATTGAAATATGCACTCACTAGAAAACTACATTCTGTCTAAATCATGGAAAAACTAGCTCCTGTCGAAAAATTATGTTTAACTTTTTAAAGAGAAGCAGAGATTTTTGCTTGCCTTGTTTTAGCTAAAGAATGGATTAAAACCAAGTTTTAAGTACATTTTTACTTGCTTTTCATCTTTAAAAGTTCAGAGTTATGTTAACCCCCCTGTATGTTATTCTTAGCGACTTACCTGAAGTGTTTTTGTTCACTTTGTTTTCATTCTAGGAGTGGGTGTCACTTTGGTTCTTGCATTTGGGTAGTCACAGTGAAGAACATGTACCTACCCAACAGGGATTGACTTGGCTGATTCCATTATGGGTTGATCGGGATCCAGAGGTCAGTGTAAAGGAGAATCAAGTGCATTGTGTTTATATTAAAAGACAAATGAAACAAACATATATGCATATACACATTAATATTAGGGAGTTATTTTAGTGTCTATATCTTATGTTTTATTTAATTCATGTCTTAATTCAGGCTGCCATAAGAAAATACCATAGACTGAATGGCTTAAACAACAGAAATTTATTTTCTTATAGTTCTGGAGGATGCAAGTCCAAGATCAGGGTTACTTCATAGGTTCTGGTAAGGGCTTTCTTTCTGGCTTATAGGCAGCTGTCCTCTTGCTGTGTATTCACATGGCCTTTCCTTGTGCATGCATGAGACAAGGGGAGAGGGGGGAGATTTCTTTCTCTTCTTTTCCTTTTAAGGGCACTAATCTTACTGGTTAGGATCCCACCCTTATGACCTCATTTATCTTTACCTCCTAGAATCCCTGTCTCCAAATATAGTCACATTGGGGGTCAAGTCTTCAACATATGATTTTTGGAGGGACATGGTTTAGTTCATGAGTTTCCATCCCTATCCCACCCTTATGACCTCATTTATCTTTACCTCCTAGAATCCCTGTCTCCAAATATAGTCACATTGGTGGTCAAGTCTTCAACATATGATTTTTGGAGGGACATGGTTTAGTTCATGAGTTTCCATCCCTGGACCCCCCAAATTCATGTTCTCTCTCCTGAAAAATGCATTCATTCCATCTTAACAACTCCAAAAGTTTTAAGTTATTCCAGCATCAACTTTAAAGACTGAAGTCCAAAGTTTCATCTAAATATCATCTAAATCAGACACAGTATGATTCATCCTGAGGCTAAATTTTTCTTCAGGTGTGAACCTGAGAAACCACACAAGTTATCTGCCTCTGATATATGATGGTAGGGTAGACATTCTCATTCCCAATGGGAAAAATAGGAAAGAAGGAAAGAGTGATGGGTCCCAAGCAATTCCAAAACCTATAGCAGGCAAATTCCATTTGATCTTAAGGCTCAAGAATAGTGCTCTTTGGCTTGATGCTGTGCCTTACTGGCTCACTGGGGTTGCCCCCACTCCTACCCCCCTTCGGCTCTCTGCAAGGGTCTCACCCATGTGGCTGTCTTCAAGGGCAGGCTTGTCCTTGAGTCACTGGGCAGGGTCATCCTGGCCCATTGAAACCAGAGAGGTGGCCCCACTCTTTGAAACCAAGGAAGAAATAATCTTGCTCCCTAGGCCTGTGGTGGGAGTGGCAGCCCTGATGATCTCTGAATCTCCTTTGGGGTCATTCTTCTCTTTTTTTGAAGAATACCACATATTTGCCTATAGAATCCAAGAAATCCAACAGCATTTCTTCATTTTATCTGGCTTTCTTTGCTGATGTAATCCCATCTCTATTCCTGGTGTCTGCTGAGATGGCTGATTAAATCTGCAAGTTGCATCCATGATCTCTTTATTAAGTGGTTGTTCGGCCACACCCTTAATGTTTTCTCATTTTTTGCACAGATAGGTTGAGAATTTTTCAAATCTCCTTGTTCTTGGTCCTTTTGCTTTCCTGTTCTCAATTCGGAGGAACCCAGCCACTCCATCAATACTTTGCTTAGAAATCATCTCAGCTAGATATCCAATTTCATTGCTCGCAAGTGTTATCTTGCACAGAACACTAGAACATGAACACAGTTTATCCAGTTTCTTTGCTACTTTATGACAAGGATCACCTTTCCTCCGATAATGTGATCCTAATTTTTGTCTGAGACCTAACCAGAATCACCCCTATTGTCCATATTTCTAGCATGTATCTTAGAACTCTTTCAACCTCTAACCCCTTACCCAGTTCCAAAGCCACTTTCACATGTTTAGATATTTGTTTCAGCAGCACCCCTACTTCTCAGTATCACCAAAATCTGTATTAGTGTGCTCAGGCTGCCATAACAAAATAGCCATCCCTCGGTATACATGGGGGATTGGTTCCAGGTGCCCCCTCCCCCTGCCCCTGAGGATAGCAAAATCTGCAGATGCTCAAGTCCCTTATATAAAATCATGTAGTGTTTGCATATAACCTATGCACATTCGCCCATATACTTTAAATCATATCTAGGTTACTTATAATATTTAATACAATGTAAATGCTATGTAAATAGTTGTTTTACTGTATTTTTAAAGATCTCTATTATTTTTTGTCATATTGTTGTTTTGTGTTGTTTTTTGTGTTTTTCTCCGGAATATTTTTGATCTGTGGTTGGTTGACTCTGTGGATGTGGATGGAACCCGCGGATAAAAGTTACTGTATTTTTAAAGATCTCTATTATTTTTTGTCATATTGTTGTTTTGTGTTGTTTTTTGTGTTTTTCTCTGGAATATTTTTGATCTGTGGTTGGTTGACTCTGTGGATGTGGATGGAACCCGCGGATAAAAGAGGGCTGACTGTTTCATGGACTGGGTGGCTTAAGCAACAGAAATTTATTTTTTCACAGGCTGGAACTCCAAGATCAGGGTGCCAGCATGGTTGGTTTCTGATGAGTGCTTTCTTCCTGGCTTACAGATATCTACCTTCTACCTATGTGCTCACTTAGACTCTTCGTGGTGCATTCACGTGGAAAAAGAGAGGTTTCTCCCTCTTCCTAAGCCCACCAATCCTAGTGCAGTAAAGCTCCACCTTTATAACCTTATTTAACCTTCTAAAAATCACCTTCTGAAAACTCTATCTCCAAATACAGTCACATTCAGAATTATGGCTTTAACATGAATTTTGGGGGCACACAGTTCAATGCATAGCACCCCCTTTTTAATCAAATTCATTGGAGTACAGATTGAAAATATAAAAGAGAGAAGATTACAGAATCTATCACTTTCAGAAAGAACAGTAAAAAGTAACTGGAGAAGCCCAGCTGTTTTCAAATAGTTTAAAAGGGTAGATGGAAATTATAAGTTATAAAGCCAAAAGACATTTAATTATCATTTAATGGAATATTACCATTCCAATGCAGAATTTTATATTATTAAGTAACCTTCCAGTTTTACCCATTTGTCCACTGATTTCGAGCAAGAAATAAGATCCTATTATAATTAAACCTTGATTTCTAGAAATATTATTTGATATGAACTTATTCATTATTTTTTTTAGGCACATTGAATTTGCACTTATTACTTGACTATGTTATGACTATATTACTTATTTTTGTACCCTGTAACTATTGTTGAAACTATATTCTTGGGTCAGAATTCAGGAATTTAGCAAAGTCTGTGACTTGAACAGCAGTGGTACTATGGCAAGCATATTATACCATATCAGTCTTCTTTCAAATATTTTTCTCTAAAAATATGTTGGAAAAATATTAAATACCTTGAAAAAGGTAATTCAGTTACTCTTTTTTTTTTTTTTTGTCTTTTTTCCGTGTCCGGCAACGGATCGCAACCCTCAGTGTCGCCCCCGTACCGGACCGGGACTGGCAACGGGATCGCAACCCTCGGCGTTGCTCCTGCACCTCGCTCAGCCAGTGAGCGGGAACCGGTCTATATGTGGGATCCGAACCCTCGGCGGGAGCGCCGCCGCGCTTCCCAAGCGGCGCACTAACGCAGTGCGCCACCGGGCCGGCCCAGTTACTCTTTTGTTTTGAAAAGAAGTTTCAGGAAAGTCAAAAGCATTTATTTGGAAGAAACACTAAAAAATTGATAAAAAACAAAAGAATAGGTACCCTTTTTAAGAATTAGGAATAGAAATTGTGTTTATAAAAGATATGTAAGTGCCATGCTTTCTCTAGAAAAAGGCTTGTAAACTATAATTTTATGCTTTTTTATTTATGCCTAGTTTTAACTTTGTGTGACATTTACTTATATTTAACTTCCTTTTCTATATTATTGCTTTCTTGACTCATGGAATAGGATTTTTATTCATTCATAACCTTATATGACACTGTCTTCTCTAAGTGTCTTTTATGGTTTAGGATTATAAAACCAATGTCATATTTATAAAAGTACATTTTATGTATCAAAAAAATTAAGAATTCATGTTAGGAAATAGGGTTATTTGATTCCATAACTTCCTCTTTAATTTGAACAGGTGAGATTCACTTCACTGGGATTAGGATCAGCCCTGACCACCCTTGAAAGTGGCTGTGTGGCCTTGGCAAACAGTTGTCAGAACATTTCTGGTGGGATCTGGGGAACTGTAGTGAACATTCTTCTAGACCAGTCAGAATGCAGTATGGTGCGCCGGGAGGTATGTCTGTCCTTTTTAGCACCCACTCCCCTTTTTTTCCTTGGAAATCCGTTGTGATAATGTCTATAATCATACTTTCCTCTCTGTTCAACATGACCATTATCTCTGATTGCTGTGGGAAACCCATATAAAATGGCACTATAGAATAAAAATGGTATTAATTCACAGTAATAATTGGAGTTCTTTATTCTAAGATCAAACCAGAATACGGAATATCTTAATGTGAACTCTTCCATTTTATTACACATTGAAAAGTAATTCACAGAAAAAAAATAACTACCTCATCATTTGTAAGTCTCTTATGTTTATAAAGCTTTAGTAAAAATAAGGGGCTGTCAAATTAATTCTCTTTGTAGTATTTGTACTGTAATATATGAGAGGAAAAGTAAACCCTATTTTAATTCTTTCTAAATAGTCTGTGGCTTTCTTTTTATTGCTGCTTTTATCGAAGCGATGATTCATGCAAATTATTTTAAAAACAATAATCAAATAATACTTAGAGGCTTATGGAGAAAACAGCACTCCTGGGTTCACCATTAGCTAGTCCCCAGTTCCAAACTCAAAAGGCTAGTTTTCTTATTTGCCTCTGTGTTTTCAAATAGTAATGCTTACACTTATGGCTTACTCTTGATTTATCAACTTTAGAGCTTGTCTATTGACTTTCCAGATGGTGTTATTCTTCCATTTATCATTATGTGATGAGTTTTCATTAAATAGTCAATGTTCATGTTAGTATGATAATATAATTCGATCATCATCAGGATCTGGTAGGTTAAGTTGGACATTTGAGATTTGTATTTCTAGTTAGCAAGTTTTCAAGAGAAGTCTGTATGAGAGAGAGACAAGATAGTGGGGAGGGGTGTGTGTGTGTGTGTGCGTGTGTGTGTGTGTGTGTAAGGGAACAGAAGATAGTGGGGAGGTGTGTGTGTGTGTGTGTGTGTGTGTGTGTGTGATCTGTAATGGAATAGTAGAAACCTAACAGTTTATTTCTTAAATGCTACCAGAACAGTTTATATTACACAATTATTCTTTCAA